ACACACACACACACACACACACACACACACACATACACACATTGATGAAGACAAAAACTTACAATATTAATGAGCAATTTATCAATCACTGATGTTGACCATGACACAGTGCCAGTGCTGAGTTCTCGGGTTCTAAACTGTGGCACAAATATCTCAGGGCGGTCGCTAACAGTTAAGCTGTTTTTCTTCATTTCGTTGTTGTTACGCCTATTTTTGCTGTTGTTTCTGTCGATGTCATTATGGTGGTCGTGCTGTTGGTTGCTGATGTTTCTGTCGATGTCATTATGGTGGTCGTGCTGTTGGTTGCTGATGTTTCTGTCGATGTCATTATCGTGGTCGTGCTGTTGGTTGCTGATGTTTCTGTCGATGTCATTATCGTGGTCGTCCTGTTGGTTGCTGATGTTTCTGTCGATGTCATTATTGTGGTCGTCCTGTTGGTTGCTGTTGTTTCTGTCGATGTCATTATTGTGGTCGTCCTGTTGGTTGCTGATGTTTCTGTCGATGTCATTATTGTGGTCGTGCTGTTGGTTGCTGTTGTTGTTTGCTATTATCAGTAATAATAGATAGCATTTGTATAGCGCATATCCCCGCTCAACAGCAGGCTCTATGCGCTCTACACTATATTATTACCCCAACAGACCGTAGAACACTCCGAAACATTCTCAGCTTCCGCGGAAGCATACAGTGCAAGCTGCAGATTTCAAGCGCTCAAACACTAACAAACTGACAAGATCTTTCTCTGTCTGTAGCTGGGTACCCATTTCCACCTGGGTGAAGTGAGGAAAATTTGTGCAAAGTGCCTTTTCCAAGGACACAACGTCGGGCCCCTGACGGGATTCGAACCCACGACCTTACGGTTGCGAGTCCGAGAGCCTAACCACTAGGCCACCGACGCCACGTTGATTATTGTCGTTGTCATTGTAGTTTGTGCAGTTAGTTGGATGATAATGATGTTGTTGCTGCAACTATGTAGTTATTAAAAACAAGGTTTGATCGTTCTTAAAAACTTTGACAGAGTGGTGTCACACAACAATGGTGTAAACAAAGAAGAGTTGTAGAGCAACCTTTTAAGCCTCCGTGATATAATATATAGATCTTTCTCATGCTTTTTTAATTGTGATTTAATTAGTCTTTTTAGATCTTGAACTTGCAAGATGCCCATGAAATAATAGTATAATATCTTCTTCAAAGGGCAGCGGCTTAGCACTCGGAAATACCGATGAGCATTTTATTGATTTCATAATGGTTCAATCAGTGGCAACATGGAGACGGTTGGAGATTCGAAGTGTGAATATATGTGTGGCATCGTAGTGAAATCAGGCGCTCGTCAAACTACTGAAAGTGAAGAAACAGCCGTTTTTCTTCCTGTTGGGCACATTTTATTAAAGTTTTGGTTTTTTTTGGCTCAACAACTTTTATGTCCATATAAAAAGAAATTTTCATGTAAATTTTACCGAAAAACGTTGATTAAAGGCACAAAATGTGTAAATTTTCAGTTTTTTAGAACTCTATAAGCTATATAAGAGAAGTTATCAAACTTTGGCGGTCATTTTCTCTGTAGTTTTACCTTTGAAACCATGCTACTCCCACCACCTTCAATGGCAAATATCTCGACTTCTATTCAAGATAGATCGTTTTTTATTTCCTTTGGCAAATGTATAAGATTTCAGATGATATTAATATTCCCGAATGCCCCAAAAATTGCCGAGCGCCTGATTCCATCGTGCCGTGACACATAATATATCTCCGACGTGACGTCTGTAGCTGACATCTGTAATCTCAGCGCCACCGAAGTGTACCTTATCCGAGATCACAGATTCTGATAAACTATGACGAACGTCCGAGCCGGTCACTCCTTGTTACAACACCACACACGGCCTCTGTCTCGCTATTCTGAGTCAGGACATTCCCTAAATGCGTGGTTCAACGCATGCAGGTGTGACTTTTTTTTCTTTTCATGTACCAAAAGATTATAGACGTCTTTGAATGATCAGCGCCACTGAATAATTGCCAGATCTGTTGGGTTTTTAAAAAGGTTTTTACGGCGCTCGCAACTACATAAGGTCATATGAGCGCCAAGGGGTAGATATCAACAGAGAAGTCCAAACGGGGAATCAGGCTTACTCTGCTCACCTCTCTAGCCTCACCACACAAAGTCTGCTTGGACTATCAAGACGCCCCGGAAATAGCAGTTCACAAGAGAGGGATAAACATGCAAAAGAAGTTGAGGAAAAATGACGATAGTAAGGATGAGGAAAGAAAAAGCAGCAGTTCCCCCTATATTGTTCACCGTATGAACATGCCTTTGATAAATCAGCCAATTTACAATTTTATTGTGCATAAGAACAATAAAAAAAAAATAATGCCAATATCCTCCCTTTGGAAATGGCATAAAGACACTTCAGTCAGTAGCACTGGCCGGGGGAGGTGCGATAAATGTTTTAAAATGACATAATTTGTTTCTATGGGGGTGTAAAACATTTATAATTACTCTCACAGTCAAAGAAAGTTCATTTTATTAAAGAACCCACAATCTCTATTTGTCACCTCACTTATTCTATCCACTGGACATGACACGGTTGTGGGATGAAGACACTGGCCTTGCTCTATCTTATCTCGCGTGTCCTCAGCCAACCTTCCTGATTACTGGTCATAACGACACTTCATTAATTAAAGAATTGATCGTTAATGTCCTATACTGAGCAAGTTCTCCGACACTTTGTTATGTCATTCGTCAACTGAAATCTATACACAGAGCGCGAGCTTCTGTCGATTAAGAAACCTGAGGACATCCTTTGGTTTTCCTTTCTCCATTACGTGTGGCAGGCAACTTAGGAAACCAACATAACTATTGCAGATCCTATCGGCTTGTCAAGTAAAGATTTAAAATCTAAAAATTTAAATGTGTTTTTATTTTGCTCTGAATAACAATGACTTGTGAACATAAAGTAATTACTAAAGTTTAAATGTGATCTTGTTTTATGTAAATGTATGGAGTAAATTCAAGCCTGTAACGATTTCAAAGGAACTGAATTTGGTCGTTTGAAATCAGCACAAGGTCTATGTTTGAGCATTGACCACACGACGGTAGTTGTTGTTATCGTAATGTCTGCGTTGTCGGTGTTAGAATGTGTTGCTGTTGTGTCGTCACGTTGCGTGTCCTGGCGGTCAGGCCTGGCCCCACAAGTGGCGGAAGCTTAGTCTGTTGTCCTTTTGTTCTTTCCCTCACACAGTGCAGGCGTTCTTCATAACCAGCTCTCCCTTGAACAACTGTGCTGGAATCTCCGGATCTCACTGGAACGATAGAGAAGACAGAAGTGCTTTGTCTATTCTTGCAACGTGCGAGTAGAACACGCGCGCAGAGTCTATTGGATTTTTGTGTTGTTTTTCAAAAAATAAATATGGCAACTTTCCCACGGAGAACAAAGAAGTGTATTTTGATATGCTGTCTTTTTGGAGCGATCACTATGATCGATCTTGTGGGTGCAAATTCGAACTTGGATACTAAAACTCAAGCCCTTGAGGAGTTCAAAGTCTCAAGCAATGATGAGTTGATGAGAAAGTCGAATGCCACGAGAACGTTGCTCAATGAGGAAGGAAGACAGTCGTCCCAACACACAGACGGTTCTGAGAAACAAGCGGGAGTGAGGGACAATTTGTTCAAGCAACACACCCGTCCAAGATACCCGGCCAGGGGACCTGGACAAGTCTGGGATGACGTCATGATGGGCTTCCAGACGTCCATGTTGGAGAAGACGAGTGACGTCACGGCTCCCGGAGACCAGGAACAGTGCCAGGAGGATCTCAGCCGAGTGTTCCTGTCTGCTGTCTCCCAGGCTCCCTGGGCCTTACAGTGTAAGTGTTCCTGTCTGCTGTCTCCCAGGCTCCCTGGGCCTTACAGTGTAAGTGTTCCTGTCTGCTGTCTCCCAGGCTCCCTGGGCCTTACAGTGTAAGTGTTCCTGTCTGCTGTCTCACAGGCTCCCTGGGCGTTGGACTGTGAGTGGAACGTATATGTTTCTTTATGTGCATATGATTTATTTTCTGATCATAGGAAATGATATTCTATTATGTATTATATAATTTGATGCTGTTTTGGAACAACGCTATAGCGTATACTAAGACTACGATAAATGTCATAAAAACAAGCAGCAACAGCAACAACAAAAAAACGACAACCCTAAAAACACCCAAACAACAACAACAGCAACAAAGAAAACCGTCTTTTTGAGAAAAGGAACTAACCAAAGTTCCAATGTTCAGAGAGCCTGTAGGGTCATATACACAGCATGGAGGGTCGAATTTACTTTTTAAAAGATAGTAAGTTAATACTTCTTGTTTCGTAAATTCTTTGCTATCCCTCAGCATGTGCTCTACTATACTACAACTAAATTAGACCGGATCTATTAGTCCGCCATTTCTATTTCTTCTCAACCTCCTCATGCTCCTCCTAGACTACTCCTTTTTGCGCCGGCCCTCAGCGCAGTTGACATCACACTGGGCTTTCGGAGACATAGCTTTGGTTCGAATCCCTAAGGGATCTTTCTTCAACTTCGGTTGTTTGAAAAGTTTTCAAGGCTCACCATGTGGGTGGTTGGCCGGGGACTCTGGTGTGGTTTGCTTCTTCTTTCCTATCAAGCATCAATCTTCCTTATCTCCCCTACTTCTTTTTTATGTTTGTTACTCTCTTGTAACACTTCTAATATTCTGGCGCTCATATGACCTTATGCAGTTGCGAGCGCCGTAAAACTTCTACTAAAACAAAGGCACACCATTCTCTTATTTCAGTACTATCGTAGATGGACATGAATATTGGAGGTACTTCTTCAATAATCTCAGATAGGTTATATTGACAGGAATGTAGAATCATAATTTACCAATACAATGCCGCTCTTCTTTCGTCCGACATCTTGCTACTTTAGAATTACAAACTTCTGACATTTTTTGGCTGTTTTGAGTTATTTAGACCGTGAGATCAGAAACCAAATGCTCTATATGCTCTATCAAATCTCAAGATTATTAGTAGTCGTTATCAAGACGTTCAAAGAATTGCATTCGAAAAAGCTGGACATGATGTGAAACTCAAAATTTTTTACGTCCAATTTCTCAAATCTAGGTACTGCGTAGAAGAGGCTTTTTGGCGGACGCTCGTGTGCGGTTTGCTCCTTCTTTTCAATCAAACATTTATGATCCTGATCTCTCCTCTTTTTTGTTAGGTTTGTCATTCTCTTGTAACACCTCTAATCTTCGGCACGTGTATGACCTTATTGTGTTGCGAGTGCCGTAAAACTCTTACTAAAACTGAGCAGATAGAACATTGTAACTCTAGGGTAGCCACCTCACTGACTACTTTGACCTCCCCCCCCCCTCAACAGTTCTGGACTCCTGGGGGAAGCCTGGTGCTGGCTTATTCAAGTACAAGCCTGCATTTTACGGTGATTTCGACACGTGCATAGGGCTGGAGCCACCTGAAAACTTCACCACTCAGTACTGTACTGTGTCAGTGTCTGCAAAGGTTGGTTGGTACAATATACATATACAAACACATACGTACGTACACGCACACACACTCACACATACAGATCGCGCGCGCACGCGCGCGCGCGCGCGCGCGAGAGAGATAGATAGAGAGATAGATAGATAGATAGATAGATAGATAGATAGATAGATAGATAGATAGATAGA